ATGCCTTGCTGCTGAAATGTGCTATACAAATAAAATTTGATTGAATTTGATTGATAGTAAAACTTCAAACTGAATAAGAAGTGATTTCCTCCGAGTGGGAAAAGAGCCAGATGCACAAATGAAGAAGTGTTTCTAAATCTCCGTCTGGATCCCTCTGCTGTTTTTAACTGAAATGTTTTTCTGCTTTCTGATTGTCTCTCTCACTTCTCTCTGTGTGGCTCTGTTTATTTCCCTCCTCCTCGGTCTGATGGGCAGCTTTAACTTCAGGAGTAACTCCCTGTGTATTAGACCAAACCCTGCTACACCTGTGTAACCCTCAGCAGGGTTTTGGATATAAATGTGAACGTGTGCATGTGTCTCAGCGGTTGGCCCTGCTTAAGGAGGAAAATAACGGCATTTGAAGTTTCTAGAGGTGTGAACTTGGCGTTGACCACAGCCTGGTCTTGCTGAGGCTCCAACTTGTCTCTCTGGATGTTGGAGAGTAATTACTTATCTCTTGCTTTTTCTTTTCCCCTCCTTTTCTTCTTTCAGCACTTATGGTGCTGAACACGCCATCTCTCAATGAGTTTTTATAAATTCAATCAGATTTTACTTTGAGATGCACGATACACTTTTTTTTTTACTTGGAAGCTGATATTTGAGGTTTAGTATTGGCTGGTACCAATCCAATACAAATTAAGTTGAACTGACTAAAAACATTTCTTTTTTTAAACACAGACATAAATGTACTGGATTACAAATTTATTTGGTAACTCTGCACCAGCACAGCTCACTGAAACAGAGATGGAATAGATCTGCCATTATAGATTGGGGGCATTGTCATAATACACAATCTGGATTTCTTTTCAATATTGGCACTGATACAGATATTGATACCAGATTGATGCATCTCTAATTATAATAACCCACCACTGCACAAACTAATATGATATAATAACATGCATCATTTTGTTACATAGTAAAACCTGAAACTGTAGATGTAATTCCACTACACTAGCTGATAATGTCATAAAGATTATGACATTAGCTCCTTATAAAGATGGATCTAAGACAGTGAGTCTTAGTGGGTCATGATGGAATGCAGTTCATTTCCTCATTATATTTTTCCCACTTATTTTCACTCTATTGTCTCCTAATTGATTTTTCCAAACTTCTCCCACAGCGTTTTATCCTTCCCCATGTCAGTGTGCCTTATTTCCTTCATCTATTTGCTCTGCTGTAAACCAAGTCTCTGAAACTGATCACAACCTGGATGTTTCTAAGTCTGACACTAAATAACTTAAGAATCCCACAGTGACTGTAGAAATTTGGTGTGTTTTGTGAATATGCTCGCCTCTGAGAGCGTAGATAAATGACTACAGAAACCCGCCGAGTGTCTGGGCAGCGTGTTCGCGTTCCGCGTAACGGTGAGCATGTCGAGCCACGCTTCCCAGCGGATAATGACTAGAGGTTATTTGCTTCCACTCCGCCGGCTCCATGGGATCCTCCCCTCATTTTTCATCAAACTCGCATGCATTTAAGCAGACTATCACACATACACACACATATGTGTGTGTGTATGTGTGAGTGTAGGAAGATGGTTGCAGAAACCCAGCAGGGAGACATCTGTGATATGAGGCCTGTCCACTGACCCGCTGTGACACTGATCAAAACACATCACAGTCGATTCCTTGGAATGACAAAAAAGAAACAGGACCGATTTCTGTTCTAGTTAAGTTCTCTTTCATCCATTTAACACAGAGAAAAAGAAAGAAAAAGATTATGGATCAAAAGAGCACATCTGTTTTTTCTTACATGATGTGAATGTCTGAGTAAATAAAGATTGATGTTGTGTGATCATACAAAAAATAAAAAATAACTTAGTTTAAACAAGATGAAAACAAAAAAGTTGCATTTTTTTGTCATTGGATTGTTTCATCAAAAAAAGAGCCTGTTTATTTCACAAAGAGTGAAACAGGCCCCATTTCAAAGTGCCAAATTGTGAAGTCAAATTTCTTTTATGACTTAAAAGTGGCAAACGTGAAGCTATGTCTGAAAAGTTTGATATATACAGAATTTTTATAACACCTGAAGGTAACAGTTACTTGACTGTATTATAAACTGGAACTATGTGCCTGGAACAGACATAAAACTGCCAACATGTTGAGCAACGGGATCTTAACTGTGGACTCAACATCTTAATTTATGCATATAAGAAGGTAAAGTGGTGAAGTCATTATGAAATTAAAGTCATTAAGTTGCCAAAGAAAGACATCAAAAGGTTTTCAATAAAATCTTTTTGAGATTAAAATAATACTTTTTCCCCAACAGCTTGCTAGACAAATGATTAATTTGAGTCTAGCATTGAGGAAAACTACTGCATGTTTTCCTAAAGCTGTGCAGCTCTATCCAGAATCTGCTTCTATTCAGGAGGAAAAGTTGTCAGTAAGAACCAAACTAACAGCAACGGCTTTTAAAGGCACATAATCAGGAAGAAGTTTCAAAAGTTTCCCACCGACAGGAGTGAAAGTTAGCGATGTGCCTCTGGGGCCAATCAAGATAAAAGTCCCGGCTGTGCGGGGTAAAACACGCAGCAATGAATCAAGCTATTTTCACACAACAAACACACACATACACACATTCTCCCTGATCAACTGTAGAAGTGTTTCTCTTTTTATTTTTCACTTCTCGTTATCTGACATGATAAGCAGCTATAGCTTCAAAATGCCTTTACAGCAGAAACGTTAGAAGTGCAGGATACCAATACTCTTTCAGCTTCTCATCACTCTCCTCTCATTTTCTCTTTGAGTTTACGGGAATTTTAATCTGCTGCAGTTGGAAACAAACTTAATTTATCTGCAGATGAAGAATAAAGCAGAGGTTCTAACACCATTTCAGACCATGCAAGAAAAAAAGCAGCTAAAAAGACATCAGTGTTAGTAAAAGCATGCATAGTGTAGCTAGATAATCCCATTTGGTTTCCCTTGATATTTTAAATTAATTGCTTATTGGCTGACCACAAATAACAAAAGCAGTTTCAATGGACAGGTAAAGTGAGGATTTCTCTGTGCAGCTGTTTGTGGAAGTAATTATGGATGCTGCCATGTATGGACCGATTTTAAAGTTTGTTCAGCAACTGTCACAAAATCCTAACACGAGGGCAGCTAATGAAAAGAAAGAACAACTAATTCTCCATTCTGTGGAGAATTGACTGTAACTTCTGTCTGTCTGGATGCGTAGTCAGAGCCATGAGTGGTGAGAGTGTTTACCTGCTGTGTGGACACAGCCATAACAGCAATAAAAGGCATTTCTACCAAGTATTGACTCAGGAGGCTGAAAATAAACTCATGCCAAACATTTTGTACTTGTTACAAATTTGAAAATCATTTTATTTTCCTTTGTGACAATTTTGCTCTACTTTGTGTAAAAATACCACAGAAAATCCCAAGAATACACATTGGGATTTGTTTTAGAAATTGACAAACAGTTCAGGTGGTATGAATACTTTCACAAAGCATAACACCTAATATAATGAACAAAAGGTAATTGGAGCTGAAATATGAAGCACAAAAGAATAATTTCTGGCGCCTAAGAACGACTTTCTGGTCTCTAAATGAGAAATAAAGTTTTTATAAGTCGTTTTAGAGATTAAAAAGATTAAATATACCAAAATATCAATCGGCAAGGCACATAATCAGGCATTCTTATTAGAAAATCCCCTTTGTACTCAGATAATATAGAACATAAGCAATTTGATTTAATATCTTTATACAGTTCACATGTAGAAACTGAAGCTATTATTGCTGCAACCATCATTACAATTGCTTCAGTCCCAAAGCTCACATACTCACTTCCAATGCTAATGGAGTTAAGATCATATTCAGAATTTATCAAAAGACTGAACACCACTATCTGGGGTTTATTGTTTTGTTTTTCTGACTGTGCCTTCTTGTGATTCCCCAAGTTTTCTCAAAATTAGCTCTCTGGTGACAAGGTGAACTTATCTTAAAGCATCACCGTCATCCTGAAAAGCTGTCATTTTCATGACTTTCAGAAGAAAACGGCACAGATTCTGCTGAGGAAACTTTGATTTTGTATTTTCACATCAGATATTCGCTCTGCAAGCTGTTATCAATAACATTTTCCAAGCACACACTCTGACAGCAATTATTATCCCTCGCAGTCTTTCACTTCTCAGGAATATTGTTGGAAAACACACAGGAAAATGTGTCTGAACTAAAAAAGAACCCCAAAAAGTTCCCCAAAAGTTCATTAAGGTGCCATTGGAAACATTTTTATTCTTGTCATCCCATTTCTTTGAACTTATTAAAGAAGGATGAAGGAATTTCTTTGCAAAAGAGACATTATAAAAGCAAATCAACCTAAACTAGTTCACACAGATGATGAATACAGCATGGATGCAGATACAGTCCTATTCTATATGCTCCTCTGATATTCCCATTTCTACCTGTTCCAGATTTAGAGAAAAAAAATCTCACCTTCTTTGCAGCATTTATACACTGCATGTATTCTTTAGCCAAGTCTGAACACTTTAAGGTCTGGTCTTTGTTGTCCTTGTAGCAGGATAAAATCTGAGCCTGCAGGCCAGGACACACAGGAGCAGTGTTACGAGACCTGCAGAAAAAATAACAGAGTCAAAAACACAGAGACGGATTTATGTTTAGAGAGACAAAGAACTACATTTTCTCTCCTGTACATAAATGTGACTGCTGCAACATAAACCAGTAAAGCTGCAGAAATGAGTTGTGGACTTTATGGCCTCTCTGTCTGATACGTGCAGTTGTAGGGGGCAGACATAGCAACTCGCCTGCAGCGAGACATCGTTCCTACCTATTAAAATGACTTTTCACTACCACTATTGGATATTATTTGATAAATTACTCCCTACCCCAAGTCAATTTAGGGTCATCCAGTTTCTAAAACACTGATTTCAATGTTTAAATCTCCATCACAGTCAATGAATCTAATGTTCAGAGCATCCAAAATTAAAATTCCATCTTCAGTGTCTTCAAAATGTGCTGAAATTTCAAGGTTTTCTGCAAAGAGCTCTAACTGTTTTATAATCAACTGTTTACAGAAACTGGGTAAGGGCTAAGGTCGGTTTGGCATCTTAAATTACAATTATTATTTGCAAACTGATTCTACTAAAATCTGTTAAGGGTTGGTCAATACGTATCTATACAGAGAAGTGAAACCATGTAATATGGACTAATCAATCACAGACTGGGTTATTTTACAAAGGAATTTTAATTTCCTTAAAAATTTCCTTGTTTAAAGGAAATTTCAACTTGTTTAAATTTCCTTTAAACAAGTTGAAAACTGCAAACTTTTAACTGAGAAAACAAAAGAAAGATTTTTGTAGTTTTCCAACAGACACCGTCTTGTCTCATTGTGAACCCAGTGTTGTTTTCATCTTTGTCTTGTCAGCTGGATTAATCATTAATCGCTACAACTAGCGCTAACTTTAATTCAAATTGCTTGACAGACTACCCTGAAGCCCCAGTTTAATTTTAGCATACAATTTACATGTTCTATACATGAGAAGAGGAAATGAGCTGCAACATAAACAGTCTTCACCCCCTTCAAAATAAGAGCATGAATAAACGTCTAACTACGTGAAGAATTCTCAATATCTGGCAACCAAAACTTTAAGACAAATGTCAAACTGTTTTCAACTTAATTTATTTGGAAATATTAAACTAGGGAAACTTTAGTACACTAAATGTATCCAAAGTTAGCAAAAGAACTAAATGAAACTGCAGCATTAGCAGAAGTATGCCCTCCATTAATTATAACATTAGGATTAATGTTAGGATTAATCCTAACATGACTTAATGTTAGGATTAAGTCATGCTAACATTAAGGATGGCTTAATGTTACCAATTAATGGACAACACTCAAGCCTGTGATACAAATGGTTTCTATTATTTTTTTAAAAGATATTTAGGATCTGTTATGATTCATTTTTAAATGTCAACCCACACTCAGCAAGACAAGAGTTGTTTTATATTTAAAGTTTTTAAAGCATGTTTAATCTCACTTCTTCTAGTGTAACAATTCTTCAAGACATAAAAAAAGATCTGCTGAGAATTGAAGTGTTTAAATAGAAAAGAAATGACAAAAGAAAGATGAAAAACAAGTCACATCTCCACCGATGGGAACCTGTTTAACAACGAGTGGGGTGGATGGTACGTGCTTCACTGTAAATCACACAATTAGCTCTAAATCACACTTAATTGAGTGGGTAGACTCATTCTGATCAAATACAGCAGAAAAGTGAGCTCTGAGAGATTGAATTAGCTGAGCTTAATTTGATATGTGGGCTGTATTATCATTTTTTTTCTCTGGCTGTCTATCTGTGTGAGTGTTAAGGATGACGGGCTTTGCTGCCTTGACGTCTTGCTTTAATAGATCCTGACTGATTGAAGTAGAGACAAGCAAGCTACGTACGCCCACACAGGTACAAGGAGGCACGTGCACAAACGCACACACTCTGTCACACTTTAGACATCAAAAATCACACACACACTTTATGTGGCAACATGTTAATGCTTTACTAATTGTACACACACCTGCTCTGAGAGGAGTGTTTAACGGCACGTTTAATTGAAAGAAAAATTAAAGACTCATTTTGCTTTTGACTGTGGAGGAGAGCTGATCTCAGTCATTTCAATTACAGCATGCCTGTATCTGCTTGGACGCCAACAATAACAGAGTTTATCTGGGTGGCGATGCTTAGAGAGGAAAAATACATGTAAATGATGAGAGAAACAGGAAAAAAAAAAATTGAAATAAAACGATGGAGAATGCAAGAACAAAGGATCCAGTGGCGTTCCTTTAGATAATTGTTTTAAAAAGATGACAGCCTATCAGATTCCCCTGTTCGTCCACACAAATGCTTCTTCTTTATGTTGCCCGTTTAATCTTCCTTCTTTCACTCTTATTTATTTTGTCTTCCCTCCAACTCGGGTCTTTTTTGCTTTTCCGACTCTCCTCCTCCTTCGTGGTCACCGCATTAACTACACAGACAGTGCGACACCAAAGCATGCCGTCTTTATCTTCCCCTTACCCCCCTTCTATTTGAGTCCACAGAAGATAAGGAACTCTCCTTTAATTTGAAATAAATGGCCTTCATCAGGGAAGCTGAAGCCTCCTGATAGTGCTACGAGGTTTATTAAAGGCGCTTGAAGCAGAAAATTGGTTCAGCCACAGCAAAAAAGCTAAAGCTCTGTCCACATGCTACACCAAATTGAAGGTGAAGCTTTAAATCAACAGTATTAACTGAAGCGCTTGCAGAAATAAATAATAAAAAGCGAGCTGGATGTGGCGAGGGTTTCTTTTTGCCCCTCTCAGCTGAGTGGCGTACAGAGCCGTAGTTGTTAAATGTTTTAATGCGTGAGGAAGCATTTGTTATTTGTAGGGGAGGGAGCTCTCCACGCATCTGTAAGCAGCAAATATGACAAAACATAAACAGCGAGATTAGTTGCTTAATTAATGGCGTGGTTCTTTATATTTAATCGCCGACGGAGAAGACAGTAGTGGGCGGAACAGACGAAGCCTCAGACTTCTGGACCAAAAACCAAGAAAAAATAAAAAAAAGATGGAAATGAAATGAATGAAGACAAACTGGAGAACAGAGAAGACACAAAAACACCCAGCAAACTACAAAGTCATCTGGCAAGGCTACAAAGCTGATAAGGAAGATGCTTTTATCGCCACCGAGTCAAGCTACGGATGAAGAGTGATGCTTTTGTGTCTCCCTTAATGGCTCTGGCTAAACATATAAAGCACTGTTTTTCACCACGCATCATTTTATTTCTGTCCTTTCAACTACAGAGGACAGGAATCTGTACTGTGTTTTAGAGTAATTAGAAAATCTTATTAACATCTCAAAGAGTCAGACCCACACAAAAGGCAAACAGAGAAAAGACCATTTCAGACTTATTTTATGACTATGACAGGCTACGAATTTGGGTTTCTGGCTTCATATTTTATTTTCATACAGTAATCAGACTGTGGAACCTTAGTGAAAGAAAACGGTAGAAAAAGCTAAACTCATGCACCAAGTTAAGTTGAGAACACTGACAATTAGATGATTTAAACACATTTAGCTTAAATAATTGCCCATCTCTGATTTTGCTGGACGATAAATTGTCCCAGAAGTTATTGCGATGAATATTTGTTTTGAGAACATTTTCAACTAATAAAATGGTGATGACATAATTATAAAACACATTCTCAAATATCAACTTTAAATTTTAATGAACATTTAAAAGTGGAAGAAATTTTAAACATCTAAAATAAATAAAACAACAGAAACAACAAATAAAATAAACTATAAAGTCTCTAAACAAAATTTTAAAAAATCTAGTTGAGACCAAAGCAGCAGACTGAAGACTTTTATCCTCCAGTTTTTGGTAGAAAGAGATAAAAGAGAAAAACAATAACTCTTTCAGATGGAAATTATTGACCTCGTTTTAATTCATTATGATTGATTTATTGCTTGTTGTGATTGGGAAGCCCTAGTAAAGATGTGGATATTCAGTTTTTATTACAGTAACAGAATCTTGCACTGAAGAATTTAATTTGAGTACATTTGATCTACGGAGAAAATAATTGTTCTGAATCAAAACAATCACTGGTGGAGCAATTACTGGTTCCCCAAACAACTCTGAATTTGTCCACCGGGACTTTTTGTTTCCCTGGGGTATAAATAAGCGATGACACAGAAGCCCATTTCTTTTAGCTGCAGGTCCAGGACAATTATCTTCTCACCACATATAGTGAGCAGGAGGGTAAGAGGGATAGAAACATCTCAAAAGCTCCCTATTAGAGAGCTGTGGCAAAGAGTGGTATCCTCGGATCACCATAGCAACCAGTGGAAAATTGTGCTTTGGTCAAATGAGCAACCAACACTAGTCAGGTTTGGCATGAGACAAGGCCCGAATATGTTGAAAAGCTTGTTGGATAGTATGGAGTCATGAATGTCTGGTAGATTCCAGAAGAAAACTGAAAATGGGTCGGCTCTATCAGAAGGATAATATACAAAATCTATGGCATATAGAAATAACTTACTGGACATAAAATGGACCTTTTGTCATGACCATGTCAGTTTCCTGACCTAAATCTTGTCAAACACCTGTGGGATGAGCTGAAGAGAAAAGCAGACTCAGACAGTCTACAGAGAGATTGTGCAAACAGAAATGGTACAAAAGATGCATCTCTCTGTATGCGTCCAACTTGTGAAATGTTATAAGCTTTGAGTAAATGCTGTTCAGCTGGCTAAAAAGAGCTGTACAAAGAATTTTTAACAATATAATTACCATTATTATTCTACAACAGGATTTTTGTTTCCTAAATTAAAAAGTTTTACTCCAATAATGCTTGAATTATTCAACATGTTCTGTATAAGCAGCAGCTAAAGTGGACATAATGTAGCTTTATCATTTTAACTCTCCTGCAGTGTTAGAATGATACTAAGGAGGAGAGCTGCAAATGTCATGGTGGGACAGCCGGGAAGCAGGTAGGATTGTCCTGTCAGACCATCAGTTCCCGAAACTACAGTTTGATCTCGCCAGACCGTGCACATGGTGAAAAGATCAGAGTTTAACTGA